ATTTATATATAATATATATTTATATTTAACAACATTATTATAAGAACAACCAACATAGTCAGCTTTGGAATTCACCTGCATCACTAACACTGTAGGAAATTTGTGGTTACAAAAATGGAAGAAACTAAAGGAAAGGCAGCAAGATTTAAGTCATTCTTACTAGAATAAGCAAAGAATATTAATGAAATCTATTATGGTATTAAAATAAATATTTATGACATATCCTACAGTTTTTAAATGGCAGAACGTCCTGCTTCTCTACATTCCTGCAGGATCCAGCTTCTCAGCAACTATCCAAAAAAAGGAGAACTATTTAAAAGGTGCTGTAATAGGGAAATCTCTACTTGCAAAAGACCTGAAATCAAAACACATTACATATTCTGTCTTCAGCAGAGAAGACAAAACAGCTAACCAACCTGAAGAGAGAAGAAAATCTAAGAAAAAAAGCAGACAGCTTCTAGGGAAAAGGGTAATGTGTATATCAGTCTCTTAAGTCCCATAAAGAAGAAAAAAAAAACTGCTTTGAGCAGCTGGAAGAGAGAGGAAAATGTGATTAAAAAAAATACCATCTCGCTTATATAATCACAAGCCCACATAAAATGAAGCATCAGATCACATCTGAGATGTACCTTGGTCAAAGTGCCGTTCCCATGAATTTCCAGCTCAGATGCCCTTATAGGAAGTGTAAAAAGTACTCTTGAGTAAGTGCTGGGGGCATGATCTTCCTTCCTCCCTCCTCCACATTAGACTTTATTTTGCTTTCTAATTATTTGTTTAGAAGGATGAAATATAACCTAACATATGTACAAACTGCATGCAGTTCAGCAGCTAACTACAAGGAATTAAAATGACAGACATATCACACAAAATAATGAGCTCTTCCATGAAAAGCAAATTAAATGAAGCTGGTTTTCAACGTATTTCACTCTCATTTCCTTTACCTCATGCCTTAATAATAATCCCAGGTGTTCACAGGGTGATCAAGCACCGTCCTTCACAATACCTGCAGTTCACATTTCTCATTCCCCCTTCCTCCAACACCTCTCTCCTGTGTCCTGCAGCTCCCAGCTAAGGGTGACTCAGCACAGAACATCCACCATGCAGAGGGACGTGGCTGCTCACTGGCCAGACACCACACAAACCAGCACCTAACTGTGGCATTTCTCTTTCAGACTTGATCTTAGGAGGGCTCTAATTGTGTCTCTCTAGTTGCTTCTTTTTCACAAAACTTGCAGAAAATAAGGTATTTTGAGATCTCCACACTGGCAAATTTGATTGAAACTGGCCAACAAGTTCAGAAGCTATTGGGAGGGACAAAGAGGCTGAAATCCTCCTCACAGACACCTGATTTCTTTAGAAAAATGGTATCAAGGAGTCATACTGTAATTACAGGAATTGCTGTCTCAAAGGACTTTAAAAGAATCACACTCTGATGTGCTGTTATCTGTCATCATTATGTTCTTACTATTTCTGCAAGGAGCAGGAGAGAATATTTACACAAAACAGGAAAATATCAATGTAAATTTACAAAGACTGGCAAATTACTCAAGACACTTGTAGTAAAATACCATTTAATTCCTTGTCTCCCTTATTGTATCTTGCTTTTCTTTTACCTTGAGATCAAGTCTTTTAGTTTAGTTGCCCCTTCAAAAATCATAGATGCTGTTATAGAGAGAAAATAATGTAGCCTTTTTCTTAACACAAACTATACAAAAACACACCAGCACTGTATTTTGTAATACTTCAGTAATTTTTTTATAATTAAGAAGAAATAGGTTTTCCATTCAAAATACTTACAAAAACTTCTTTGGTATCTATGGAAGTCTTATTCTGCACTGTGTTTTTCAACTGCTCCATTGTTGCTGCAAACTGCACATTCATCTTTTCAACTTCTTGAGCACTTGTAATTGCATCAGACTGGAAAGAGAACTTACTTCAGGTAAGAAGTATGACAGTCAAAAAATCAAGTATTTATTAATAACTATTTACTTGGATCTCTTCAACTATTTTCAGACAACTGTTTTGAAGAACTAAATGCAAACAAACTTTCCACAAAATACATTTTTCCTTAAGTTTTCAGGTATAAAACCAAGCGCTTCTCTCAAACACATACTTGGTAGCTTTTATAGAAAACCTCTACATGTTTACAATGAAGAGAACTGAAAAAAAAATTAAAAAATAAGTATTTTTACAAGCTTTACAATATATAGGAAAGACTAAGAAAGCCTAGAGTTTCTCAAAAAGACAAATTAAAAGGTCTTCATAAACAAAACATGTTTCAAGAATTTAAATTGTATTCTTCAAAGAGTCCTCATGACTCCATATGTGTTGAGGATGTTTGCAAACTAAAATTGAGATGATTTATGGATTGAACAAAGAGATTTTTTTCTGTCATGCCTTTTGGGGCACAGTGAGTATCAGTATGCAAACAAGAAAAAACTCCTACTTTTTAAAGTCCTTTGTTAATGAAATTAAACCAAAAAAGGAAACCTCCAGAAATTAAATGGAAGCAAAGCCACACTACAACAAACAATAAATCCATTTTGTCTTTTACCCAACAGTAGCCAAAACCAGCAAGTTAGGTACAAGGTTCAGAATGAGAGGTGATGTAAGTTCTCATAGATAGATAAATTTTATTTCATTTCTTTCTGAATCATTTTTTCTTATATTTCTGTCCTGTACAAGTAGGTAATTTAAATACATTCCACCTGCAATAAACCCCACAGGATATAACATTATGGTATCTCACCAGAAGGATGCAAAGGAAGGCCTCATATTGTTTCACATTGAACAACGCTTCTTTCAATTGAAAAGAACTAAGCTGTGCACGTCTCTGCAGGTCTTCCTGTGTGGACTCCAACAGCGCTGTGTACTGGTGGGCTAGCACACGGCAAGTATTGAGACCTCCATCCACAGCCCGTGTAGCTGACGGAATGGCTTCATTCAGAATGGCTGGCACTATTTGTATAGAATAAATATGAAATACAGAATACGTTTCCTGGGCACTTTGAGATCTAACAATGCTTTAAGAGTCAAAGATTATTATTATTAAAAACAGAAGATAGATACTATATGAAAAAATATGCCTATCCAGTTATTAAAATTCAACAGTAGTAGTTAAAAAAGCCACAAATTCCCCCAAACAGCACAGGTCAATAAAACATATTTTAGGTGATATAAAATATACTATAAATAATATTTTTTTTCTTTACAATTTCATTATCGACAGCAGACAACCCTTAAACTTAAATGTTTTGCTATGTTTTGTTATTTAAGCAGACGTCTATGCAGGGAAATAGGACAAGAAGGCCCATCCACTTCCTTTATGTGCATAATACAGCTCCTTGTTGTATGCATTGAACTTCCAACGCGAGCGACATCGGCAAGCAGCAGTGCGACAGTTAGGTTTGAGGTATGTCTGCTCAAAACCCTGTGAGCACAGAAAGGCCAGGCTTAACAAAGTTAGAATGGGAAGTAAATCTGCACAAGTGTCCTGGTTTTGCTAGGATAGAGTTAATTTTCTTTTTAGTAATTAGAATAGCTGTGTTTTAGTTTCAGTGTTTCAGTTCAGACATATTATGAGAAGAACGTTGATAACAGTACTGGTGTTAGTAGTTGCTGCTGGAGCTCAAGGCCACCGTGTTTGGCTGGTTCACAGCTGCATTAGGACTGGGAGGGGGAAGCGCAGTGAATAGCAAAACCCAAAACTGGCATTTGGATGTGCCAGTGAGATATTCCATATCATATCACATCATGTCAGTATATTAACCAGGGATGACCAGAAGACAGGGGTATTTCTCTCGGGGATCGCTCGGGCTCACTCTTCCGGGGTTTCGGTTCGGGACCGTCTCGGCTGCGGGATCGTTAGCTGGCACAGGCCGGGCATTGGTCAGCGGGCGGTGAGCACTGTGTATCACTCATTTGTATAGTCTGTTATCACTGCTGTTATCATTATCATTTTATTTTAATTAGTAAATAGTTTCTATCTCAACCTGTGAGTTTCCTTGCCATTCTTTCCAAATTGTCTCCCCTACTCCCTGGGTGAGGGGGGGCAGGAGGGTGATAGAGCAGGCTGTGTTTGGCTGCAAGCTGCAAGCAAAAGGGTGAATCCACCCAAACCAGCACCACAAGTAATAGAAGTGCTCTAACTAACATTTGGCTGATTTACTTTTTTGGAAGCAGGGTAAAAATTCAAGGCAGAGCCCTACCCCAGCAAGCCTGCTGCTAACACTTAAATTGAGGCTTTAGCAGTCCAGCTACTGGTCCTAACCATAAAGACAACCATTTAATCTCCTGATCTAAGAGCATTCGTGCTGTTTTTTTCCAGCAATTCAAAAATGATTGAAACAGGTCAGTGCAAAGAAGTCCATATTATAGTAATGTAACAAATGTAACAGGAGTAACAATTGTATTATCTATTATCAGGAGTAACAATTGTATTACCTATTTTAATCGATTACAAACCCCACAGATATTACAGTGACAAAGACCACAACATGTTGTAGTAAATCATGCTTTTTGGCTAACCACAGTAGTTGAATGTTCTCTCACACTGTAACCCAGGCCCAGTGAACCTAGAATACAGCTAGCCACAACACAGAAAGGTGACATTTGTGGGAAAGCTTGTATTATAAAAATAGAAAACCAACAATGTCTCACTTAGCATGTAAGTAAAAAAAAATTATCACCACAATCTAGAAAGTTGCTTACTTCTTTCTCTGATGTGGTAGGTATCTATTTTTTTTCCTACTTACACTGCTTTACTAAAAATACTGTCTAGCTAAGCAAATGCTTTGCTTTCCAATAAAGCACAGTGTTCTTAGCAGGAGAGGTATGTGCTGTGGCCTTTATTCCAGAAACTTTGGTCTTTTAAGAGAAAAGATTTTCCCCTAAAATTGGGCTGCAGATCTTTCTTAAAAAGAAGTCTCCACACTGAACTACAATACTACATGCGTATTCATAAAAACATTTACACCAACCAGTCATTTATTTGATTATTAATTGTAAACCTACCAGAAATAATGTGGCTTTTGGGGAAAA